GTAGGTGTGCTGGACATTTTTCCTCCCTAGGTGCAGCACTTTGCATTTCTCCTTGTTGCAACCCCAGCTGCGGTCTGGGGTCTCAACAAGTCCCCTACTAGAACTAGGGGACTGGGTGTCCCCTAGTTCTAGTATTCTGGGACTTGGTAAACAACAGTTCCCTATTTACTTGGTCCACACTCTTCATGATTTATAGACCTCTATCATATCCCCCCTCAGCCTTCTCCTTTCCCAACTGAAGAGTCCTAGCCTTTTTTGGGCTAATGTTCTAGAGGGCTTCCCTCTTTGTGCTGGAGGCCTTTGGGGTCTCATGCAACACTTTCTTGGGCAATATTGTAGAAGCTTGTTAGAGAGGAAGAAGGTGCTTGCTTACCCACTGAGTTCCCAGTGTAGTGTCAGGCAGTGTTGAGGCCAAACTGAGAACATGTTATAGTCAGCCACAGATGCCATCTGGATCTATGCAGCATGGTATCCACAGGTGCTGCTGAGGGCAGGGAGAGAGGTGGTGGGAGAGCCATGTTTATGAAAGAAATTGGCTGCCCCAGGCATGGCACAGGTCTCAGCTGCTTAAGTCATTTGTCGTGCTTTAGACTGTTGTTGCTTGAGATGATGTAGAGCTGGATTCAATTGGTCTCTCCTCTTGAATTCATTGTTGATGGCTTAATCCACATCAAAGCTGGCCTGCTGGACTGTGGAGGAGCCTTCTTGGGACCATCTGGGAGGGTGAGTTGGGCAGAGCCATAACAAGCAATTTCTGTGCCCTGAGCGATGGCCAGGCTAGCAGCAGCTGCTATTCTTGCTGTGTTCTAGATTGGCCGCCTGGGGCTGATAGCATGCTTGTCTCCACTTCTCCCCCTCTTTTACAGTATTGTGTGTTGGAGCTGGTTGAGCTAGTTTCCAGAAGGGGTGCTCAGTGGCTGTCTCTTTTCCTAAAGCCCTGCTGTTCACTTTATGGTGGGGCTTCTGCCTGGATGTGGCTCATGGCCTCCCTTCCGGTTTTGGGAAGAGACTGGTTAGCAGATATGAGATAAAGGGAAAAAGGCTCACAAGTGTTCTGAAAGGGGAATTGTAGTCATGGGCAGAGACAGTAAGTCTGGTCAGAACCTGGTTCCTGAATATCTGGGGTTCTGAATGCATCATGGGCATAAAGGGGTGGAGGCTCATGGGTTGCACTGGCCCTGCCGATCCCAGGGATACGCTTCAAGCCTGAGCCAGCATTTCACAGCACCAGGGAAAGGCCCCATCCTTACCACCCGTTCTATGTTTTGCCCACTCCAGATGTCATGGCACCCTCAGTATCGGAGTTCCAAGTTCCGTCATGTCTACGGCAAGCCAGCCAGCAAGGAGAAGTGCTATGACTGTGTGCCCATCACACGCAGCGTCCACGACAACCACTTCTGTGCTGTCAACCCCCACTTCATTGCTGTGGTGACGGAGTGTGCAGGTGGTGGGGCCTTCCTCGTGATACCTGTGCACCAGGTGAGCAATGACCACTGGGCAGGGCTCTGGGGGTGCAGGCTGGTTTCTTCCATTGTTGTACAATACTAGGGGACAGAGATAAGGCCACAGAGACCCTGGCATGTCTTGGTGACAGTAGTAACTGAAACTTACTTCTGTTGCTTGTACTGTAAAACACAATACACAACACAATTTGGGCCCTAAATTGGTTACGAGGAGCCAGTCTCTGTTACACGACTCTATAGCCCCTAACACTGAGAGTTCTTTTGTATCTTTATCTATCCATTTGTCTGCCATAAGGTTTTTGGTTGCTAGATGGCACTCTCATACCTGCATATCTTTCACACGCAATCAGCAGCAGCAGTCCAAAGGCCTGGTCCTCATTGCAAAACATATAATGATCAGCAGCAAAAAGGGGAAAGA